ACCAACGAATAGTGGGATTGACCGTCACATTATAACGCCCCCACGGCTGAAAGGGCGAACATGTTTGGTGGGACAGGGATCCGAACCCAATACATAAGGATGCAGTATTATGTTGGTAGCAGTGTTTCTCGGTGTTGTTAAAAATTAGGCATGTTATGACGAGTGTGGTATTTACATGTAAAACTTGTAACCTATGTGGTATTCTATGGTGTTCTGATTCCCCCAAGAGTAATAAGGTAGTGTCTGAAGAATAAGAGGAGGTCTGACAAAAAATGCGTTATACAGTAAATTCTGAATTCCCTGATCCTGACTCACTTTCAAGAATGAAAATGACCGTACACAATGTGTAACAAAATGAAACAATCTTTATTCAGCAATCAAAAACAATCAAAGTGTGTATGATTAAGAATGACCCTAAATCGTGGCTGCATCCCAAAATCGAAAAATTCATTGGCAGTCATCTTAAGTTGATCGTAAAGGGACAAACGTGGCTATAAATACAAAATATATTTGTACTAACAAAGCCGGTTTTGCACACGAATGCAATTCGCACACATGATCCTTGTCCACTGTAAATTGAGCATTGTGGTGTGGTAACTCCTGTTATTATCCAATTTGTTGATTGAGAAAATAACTTTCTATTTCTGGATATCACAGGCTGTCTTATCTACAAGAAACTCTTAGCGAGCTACCTTGAAACTCTGTAAAACACAATAACTTTAAAAGAAATTACATATTATCTAAGTTTGAGTGTGTGCATGCAGGGGAGAAAACGCTTGGTTTCGTCGTATATAAGAGAGTCATCTCTATCAATTCACAATTCCAGTAAATGAAACTGTCAATTGCCCATGTGGTGAAGCATACAGGATGTATAAGTAAAGATTGTTTCGTTGTGTATTGCACTTTGTGTTCAATACATTTGTTTCCTAGCACAGACTCAGTTAGTTTTAATGGTACTCAGACAGAGGCATCAATTGGCACTGGTACAGGGGGCTCGTGCCCCGATTCTATTTAAATCCCCAGTTGGTGTCTTGAAAAATTAGAATAGAAAACCATGATCGATATCATACTGAAACGACGAAAATTCCCGCGCCTATGAGCCCTAGCCCAAAATTTTGTAAGCACCTAGCGACTCCTCTGCCAGCCAATCTGTCTAATTTATTCATTAATGTAATAATCGATTTAACTAAAAATATCCCACTGTGATCAGTTAATGATAAGACTAGAGGATGTAAGAAAATCGACAAGATATGAGTTAAAGGTTTTCAGACACATACACATGCGCGCATGCAAACACACACGTAAAAACTAGCAAACAGAATTTCGTTCATTTCCACTCCTTGCTGTGTCTTAAAAGAGGTGTCAGGGGTTTAAATAACTCTAGAATTTGAAGCCCTATACGTTCATCCTGGGGAACTGAAAACACCCCTCTTTTCATAACACACGATATTTCTCTATGTGAATATTTTTATTTCTTATTCAATTAAACAATTCATGAACTGGTTCTCTTTAATGCACTTTTAGTAAAGTGTCAAGTCTATGAACTTATATATTGATTATTTATTTTGTTGGGTATCTGCTTGTTTGTTAATTTCTCATAGAAATTCTTTCCGAGAAATTTCAGCGATACAAGTCCTTTCTTGATTAAAACTAGTTTATTTTTTCTCGCTACAACTTTGCAATACACAGAATTTCCAGTCACTTTAACTTCACCACTTTTATAAACACACGCTATAATTCACAGCGATTCACACACTTTACTTACAGTGCTTACTGTTCCCTTGACTCAATCATTTCTCTTTAATCTATATACTGCTTATATACTAAAAAAGAGGGCGTCTAGCAAACGCTGGGACATTCGTGAGGTTCCCCGATCCTTCTAGAAACTCCAGCGCGCATGCTCCCAGCGTCGTGTGACTTCCGCTGTCGTAACAGTCTATTCATTTTAACACAGTTGCACTTTGCCAGATTCATATGACTTATTACATAAATTTCATACAGGATAGCTACTCCTGTATGATGTTTATAGTTTATTGTGTTTCTTGCATTTATCATTTCTGATGGGGTTTTAGCATAGTCGCAATCTAAATATGAAGAAAAATATCTTGGTATTATCTTGGCTTTTATACCAGAGATTAAGCATATTTTTAAATTAAAAAAACATAATTTTAGCTTTAATATTTTACTTTCTGTCAAACTTGTTCTACTGTGCATCAACGTTAAATTTACGAATTTACAACTCTAGAATCTACTGCTGGATTTCCGTGGTAAAAAAAGGGCAAATAGCTCATTGTGTAGCTTTGCGCAAAAAAAAAAAAAATCAGTCACATATACATATATTCAAGGTATTTAAATATAAATGCTCCTATTTTTGTCGCACAAATAAAAGGGGGTAGCGTTTTTTTTACTTAAGCTAGGAACCGAAACACAATATAATAAATCAATGTTCAAAATAATAATTTATGTTTCTGAAATGTTTACTACATGTTATAAAGAATAATATTGACTTTTTGGAGTTTTATTGATTTTAAATTATAAAATTGATGTAACTTCCAACCCTAAAAATAGAACTTTTTTTTTCAAATTTCGAGAAATTAACCAAACAGAAAATGAAAAGTGTATGCGGTGCTATTCTGTGGCGGTTACGACTTTTTTTTCTGCGATTTGCATATGTAGTAAACCGCCACAGTAAAGTAAGAACTGTTAATATTTATATAGATTACAATGAAATATGCATCATTCGTTTGATAATATAATTTTTACATAGTTTTTTTCAGTAGAATATATTTAGTAAATATCAGCAAGAAACTTCATAGACATATCAAAACGGAATATATATTTCACTATGACTTAGTAACTTAAACTGTTAAAACTTAGTAAAACTAGCAACATTATAATTAACTCAATATAGTTATACTTATATATAAGTATAACTATAAGCCTAATATATTAATATTACTAACACTAATTACTGATATAATAGTAATACTAATTTGTAATACTTTATATTTAAAAGTATTAATAAATTGTCCATGTGTTGATTGAGCCTTCGATGGCATATCTGCAACAAGTTGAAACTTGATAGCTTAGCTATTCTGTTTCAGTTTCACTTTTTAAAGATATAATAATTCATTTTATATCAATATATGTTCTCAGTGGTGTTTTCTCAGTTTTTGTTTTGCCTTTAAAAAGGTCTTACTAACTCTTAGGTTTATTACATGTATCATACTTATAGTGTATAGTTCGTTTACATTATCACCAACAGTATTCTGCATGTGCACATTGTACTTGTATTTTTATATTTTATAGTATACTGTAGTACTAGCAGTGTACGAATTTCATTTGTTCAACAATCGATGCCCATGCATATGGCCAGTTTAACTCTAAAAGAGGCATTTGATATTTTAGTTTTACACCAACTGTTGATGCTTCTTATATGTACATTAGGCATACGCTATATAGTTGCAAAATAATAAGCTTTTTTATATTTTCTGTCATCTTGGTGCAGCTTCTATTTCCTAAAATCTTTTGTGTACAGTTACTGGCAGTATGTCTTTTTACGTTGCAATTAAAACATTTTGTCCTGTGATTTATTTTGTCCATTCTGAATAAAGAGTTGTCTAATTAAAGGCTTTTGTCTGTTGTTCCTGGTATTATGTCCTTTTCAATCTCAGTTGAAACACTTTCTGTCCTGTGGTTTACTTCTTGCATTCTGGGTAAGCAGTTGTCTAATTAATCCTTTGGTTTGTTTTCTATGAGAAGGAGTTGATGTTTCCATAGTATTTGATCTGACTGTCTCATGATTCCTGGACAGGGTTTGCAGTTGGTTCATTGATGTCCTTGTTTTCATTTTTCTATTTTATTATTATAATCATCCTGTACTTTAATCTTCTTCTTGTAATTCCTCTACTTTTCCTATAGCTTCCTCATTCTTGTCCTTAAAGAAATTGATTTTTCATCACTATTTTTATGAACTTACAGGGCACACGTTTTTTTATCTCATAATGTCTCACCTGGTTATCTTGGCATTATTTAGTGATTTACATGAAGTAATTTGTAGTTATAATTCCCTTTAAAATCCTGCTCTTTTTCGTGATTAAAAAAACAAATTATGCAAATTTCCTCTTGGAAGTCTTTCTATTGTTTCATCATTTCCAATAAATTTTTATTCACACTTTAAATAGTTGTCATCATCTTGAAGTTGAATCTTGATTTTATTTTTTATCAAAATAATCCCATTTCTGAACCCAGTGTACTCTTGTAGTTTTCTCCCGTTGACTCTGTGATTGTTTGATCCACTCCAAGAAAAAGAAGATTAGCCTGCTGGTTTGCCAGTTGTTGTGGTTGATAGTAAAGTTAGTTGAAATAAAAGATAATCAAAATAAACAAATGAATAATCAATTATAAATTTGTTAAGTGAAACAAATAATGTCATTCTGTACTTCTTACCCTAAAAGTTTGATTTGTAAATGATTCAAAATTGATAATATATATATATATATATATATATAGCACCTAGACTAATACCAAGTTTATCATATACCTGTCGGCTTTATGAGCCCTGTTATTGGATGAAAAGCCACTGTATATAGCAGGTGTAGTGCAGTTGACATATAAGAGTCTCACATGCTGTCACTCATGAGTTTTTAGCATTCGTATTGTTGTTAAGTTTTTTTTTTTGGTTGGGATATTTTGGATTATTCTGTAAAAATAATGCAAAATCTAGTCTACTTAATAAAATCTAAAGTGTTTTATTTGTCTGATTATAAGTTCTACAAGCACAAATTCTACTTAAGTACAATAGGCTTAACTCCACAAATAAATAATGCCTCAAGAGAGATTCCACTTAATTGCTAATTTTCTTGTACTTATAATGTCTATCTCTAGAACTTCATTGAAAACAAAATTTACAGCACTGAATTAATTAACTAGCTGACTGAATAATCAAACTATAATCTAATCCAGTATCACCTAATTTGTGTTTTATATTATTTCAATCATTTCCAAGACTTTCAAGATCAGTACTTCAGACTTCAAACCACGATATCTTCATGTCATGTTAAAAACTCCCTCTAGCCAAAAACAATGCAAACATATGAAATGTAAAAAGCATAGTCTACAGCAATATACTGCTGTGGTGGCATTGTAAGTGGGAGGGTCAATACTACAATTTGGTTTAGAGTAGCCTGTTAGTTGTAGGGGTGCTTTTTTGCTGCCCTCTCTCTTTGGTCAGCAGTAGTAAGCTAGAGATGTGTATGCTTGAATCATTTAGTCCATATATTGCATAAGTTTCTTTTAACTCTACATATATACCCTCAGCAAAATGCTGATATCTTTTCAGTCTTTCTTCATAAACCAGGCAGAGTTGTTGTGATTTTTCTTCAGCCCAAAAAAACCTTAATATATATATATATTTAACTTCATAATGACCAATTTTTTACAAGAAATTTAATGGTGCTATTTATTTTGTATTTGGTGTAGTATTTAATGACGAAATTGACAATGATTATTGTGCCATTTTCTTGAAGAATCTATATATATATAAAAGAGGAGGTTTGCAATTCCCAAAGTTACTAATTCTTTTATGAAACCACTTAGCACTATTTAAAGAAAACTGTTTTTGGAAATACTGAATTGACAGCAAGGTGATCTGAGTGTCTCCCGCCATAATTCTTTCTATGTGCAAAACATGCTTATGTTTGTATGTTTATTACTAAAAAAGGGCACAATCTATATATATAAAAGAGGAAGTTTGTGTATATGTAAGTAAGTAGAAAGAAATATTAACTTAATAAAGAGAAATATACCTCAGTAAATAGTCATACTCATAACATCTGTCACAGTTGAAAACATTTGGCTTAAGTTGAAATTGTAGTCACTCATATATTTAGTATTCACACAATCACTAGCATGCAATGACAATATTGACTTAAAACTCTACAAACACTATTTGATAAAAGTTGTGATAAAATGACATGATGGTGCAGGAGGTACATAATGGGGATTGAACTTGGGTTGACTTCTGTTATCCTTCCCATCCCACCTGAATATCTTTTTTTTTCTCAACACCAGAACACATTCTTTCAGTATTTCAGGACTGTTAAATATAGCAATAAGCATCTAACAACCAATACCATCCTTTTTTTTCTATAAAGATCTTATAACTGACTTTCAGAATGGGGTAAGTAATATCTGCACACTTTTGTATTTTGTAAAAACTTGTGAAAATGAAGAATATAATATCTCAACCACATTATTATCTGTTAATCCAGTGCTGACAAGACCTTTTGCCCAATATCAGGGCTCATCAGGCTGGTTTGGTTATAATACACATAGTAGTAGTTGAAACAGTTTATATTAGCAATTATTTAAACAACTGTTTTGGTAAGAAAATGATTATGTGTATTAATCACTACCCTGAAACCAAGTATGTATTCTATTTGTCTATCTCTGCCATATTTTTCTTTACAGATGCTTTTTATGAAACTCCTTTGGTATTCCTTTTTTTCTTTCAGAATTAGTGTTTAAATAAATTAATGTACATATACATCCACATGCTTACTATTATAGCATTTTTCTGTTTGAGCTTTTGTCATTGATTAATATTGTTTGGTATATTTATATATATATTAGCCTTGGTGTTATAGTCAATAATTCCCAACATTGTACAGTCCGAAAAGAATTCAGAATCATTGAGAAGTTTTTGTGTATCTGAAAATTGTTCATGTTACATGTAGATGTATATTATTATTTAAATAAATGAGAGAGATTAAAGATTATATTGGTCTTGCTTTTTCAGGTTATCAAGGATATTTATTTAATGGAAGTAAGACTGCAGTTGAGATAAACTTTCTAGCCAGAGCATATGTTGATGACTTTTTCTTGTATGCTTCGAGTATTTGTGACTTTTTTTAATTGCATTTGGGCATTATATATGTTTTGAAACACCATAGATTCATAATGTAATCAGCAAGCTTTTCTTTAATAAGTATAAAAGTTCTCAACAGTATTTTAGGTTAAAAAATTTAATGTCAAATTGGTAGTTCTATAGAACATCTTACAAGGTATTGTAAATGTTATTAACACTAAAAATTCTTTTCATTTTCACATTAGAAAGATGAACTATAGTATAAGAACTGTAAAGCATTTATCAGAAGAAAATATGTTGAAGAGTTAGTAGGTGAGATATTTATTTGTGAAGAAAAGAAAAATCCTCAATTCTTGACTTAAGGAAGAGCTCTTATTCAAGAAAGGTGATTTATGAAAAAAACAGTAAGATAAAGCAGTTCTCCTGCAGTGTAATCACCAGATGCTTGTCATATTAAGATGAGATTAACAACAGGCTGAAAAAGAGTGACATATTTTCCTTGTTGTATATTTTGTCAACATTCACTTTATGTAGTGCCTTTACTAAGTGGAAGAAAAAGTTGATTGATTGAATCTCAAGTGTTTATCATGTCTAAGGCCCCAAATGAAAATCTTATAACTTACATTCTTGTTGTGGTTGGTGATGGAGGTGTTGGGAAATCTGCACTAACCATCCAGTTCTTTCAAAAACTATTTGTGACTGACTATGATCCAACCATAGAAGACTCATATATACAGCACACTGAAATAGATGGCCAGTGGTGTGTACTTGATGGTAAGTGCTTTTTCTTAATACTGTCATAACTTTCCTACATTATATTTAATTTATTGTTTTTGTTAATTTGGTATAATATGTTTCTTAATAACATACGATCTTAATCATATAAGGCTGTTTTCAGAAAATGTAAAAGTTTTAAAGATCATAACTTAATAGTAAAGTAATGAAAATACAGAAGTGATATAAATATAGGATTCACAAACTATAAGTAGTGCAGACTAGATGGTGATTTTATTAATGCTATAAAATATTACTGTAGAAAATACGGAAGCGATTAAGTTGCACAGTACACTAGTATTTTTATGGGAGCCCATAGCTTTACATATAAAATTACATTATTTTCATGCTGCCATACAGTTTTAACAATGTTAGATTGTAAAATATTGTTCGTGTACTTCTCCTTACAATAAAGTCAAGTTGTTAGCCATTTTTTGACTTTCCCAATTTTTACATATAGGTCCAACCAACCTCACTATTCCTCACTCTAAATATTGTACATTGACTATGATATCATTCTTCTCTCAACCTTTGAAGCAAGTGTCAATCATTATTGCCAAACATTTCAAACTTTAGTTAATTAGTAAGGTTCATGTCTCCAGCTATGTTCATTTCAATCATATAGTTTGGTTATTTTTTGTCGTCAGTAGTTTTCAAGCAGCTACACATCTGTTTAGGTCACATCATGCTAATGTATATCTTAGTGTTCTCTTGGTAACATTCATACCTGTATTTAGAGCATAGCTGCTGGCAAGATCTATATTTGACTGACATTTGTCTCATAAAGAACATACCTTGAGATACTTAACATCATTTTTGGAAAGTTTTGATTTTCTACTTTGACCACTTGTTATTAAACCTATGCATATGGGTTGGTCAGTATGACTGACCTTTTAACTGTGAAACTATACATACACTGTAAGTCTGAAAGTACTAAGTATATCTTCACACAATTTAGTAAGCTGTTAGTAAATGCTACAAGTATTTTGTACCCCAAAACTCAGACTTTTTAATAAAGATTTATCTGTGAATTTACAAAGCCTTTATTGAGTCTGTCTGAGTGGAAGGTGGTTTTCATGTTAAGAATATAACTACTATTTTTTTCTTACAGTATCATATTTTATTTGCAGAACTTCCAAAACCTCCTAAATAGATTTCGAAGTTTTTTTCCTTTTTTTTTGTTAAAATTTTGTATTTCTTGTGTTTTTACTATACTAACAGTAACTGTAGCAAAATCATCAATGTACAATAAAATTTAAAGTAGAAAAATATGAATTAAAACCAAAATACCCTTTATTCTTTAGAATGATTGCAGAATGTAACAGACAATTACATTATTTATTCTGACAGCCTCAACTTTCATCCCTTTTCACACTTGCTTTCTTTTATTATATTGCTTTACAGTGTGATATCAGATGTCTCTCAGTATGTGAAACAATATATCACAGCAAGATAGCTTGTTGTAAACAAATGGATCATGTTACATACATAATGTAACTTTACAGGATTTACATAAGCCAGCTGATTGAGAGAGTAGATAAATGTTTTTATTTAATTTTTCTTCTATTATCTAATCTGTTTCTAATTTTATATTTTTGTTATATTTGCTAAAAAATGTATAACAGTAAATAAGAAATTTAGCACTTATTTAGCTTTGAGGCCTTTTGCATGAGTGTGTTGTTCAGTAAGCCTTGTTTTTTTCGAACAATGTTGGTTGTCCAAAAAATAATTCAAATAGCTTTGAAATATGCCTTTCAGAAAACAAATATATCAGGCACTAAAATAGAATGTTTCAAAACTACTAGAATTTATTTTGTTTTCTAACCAACATATAAAGAGGTTTAATTCCATTACTGGTCAGAGCAGTGTTTTCAGTTTAAACACATTAAGCTTTCCTTGGGAACTATGGTCTTTGACTGCTGGAGTGGTGGGCCATGGAGGCTTTCTCCTGAGTGTGACCAATTCCACTCAGTCAAGAATAGGACAATGGTGCTCTGTTGGTGTAGATGATGACTACTCACATCCTACCATGAATAAGAAGACAAATACCCAATGCTGCCTGGTTGTGGCCTGGATGAATCCACCACCTGGTTGGCTTTCTCCCATCTTACCACTGCCTGGATGTCAGTTCTCAGGTGGTCGAATGTTGGATTTGCATAAGACCTGCCAATATAAGTCCTCACACATGTGGTTGGTAGGGATCCTTATCCTGTTGTGGAACAGACAACAAATTCTTGATGCTGCCTGGTTTTGGACTGGAATTGACTCAACATGTTTGCATTACATCTTCCTACCATTAACTGGATATTGGTTTCCTTGGTGGTCTGGTGTTGGTTGTGTACTTGGTCTGCACACGTACCCTGGCTTGGTTGTCAGGACAGAAGTTGTTTTTCTCTTCTGCTTCCTGGTTCATTGGTGAAGATAGTTGGGACCTTCTTCCTGCTGCTGACTGGAAGAAAATACCTGATGCTGCATGGTTTTGAACTGAATTTGACCCACCAAAGACAGTCTGACGCACCCTAGCCACTCCACATCATCTGGCACATCCGATTACAGGTTGAACATGCATCTTTTCCACCCAATTTAACAACACATATCTTGACAATTGGCAAAGAATATACTTGGTACAGATGGGGTGAGGTCTCCCACGAATGTGACCCTGTACATTAGGGTGTCACACTACATGAGTTCTCATCAGGCATTATCTGAAGAGTGCTCATCTAGGTAACTTTTGCACCTGTCCCTTCACCATTTCAATGTGCGATTCTAGCTATTATGTGAGAAGAGGTAAGGTATCGTATTGGAAGTTGATATTTTCCAACAATGAAAATGTATTTCTGATAGATACTTACCTCCGTTCACACTTTTCACCCATCGTCCCCACTTCCGGTGCATTTTTTTTTTGCCTAAACAAGTTATGAGAGTGCTCTACAGTGTAGAGGGGAGTCAGCTGCACTAAGAAGGTGTGTTGCAATCCTATTGGTAGGGGGTTGTTGCATGCTACAGCACAACTATACTACATGTAAACACATGAGGGTAGGTGGGAGCATCAAGGCTAGTGATGAGCAAAAATCAGGCATATAGAGGGCAGCACAAATTGAGGAAAGCTATTATGTGAGAAGAGATAAGAATCTATTGAAAATATCTTTTCAGTGTAGGAAAATGATAAGTTTTGAAATGTGGCATAATATTCAGTAGCATTATTTGTTTATTGCTCCTGGTATTTTATTTTCATTTGAACATATAATTTAAACTACAATAAGGTAATTTTCTGTAAGTGTTTAAGTCAATTGCACATAGTATTACTATGTAATCTTGTCAAAATCTGGGTCCACAGTTTTAGATGTTATTACCAGCAGTTATTAATTTTCCTATTAGTTTCAACTGTTCTACTCTCATGTACATCTATCACTTGATTCTGTATTAGGGTGGTCCTTATTTGCAGGTAAAATATCAGGTTAAAAAATGATAAAACTCTCACCCCCTAATTTTCATCCCTTGTACAAAAAAACATTAAATGTCAAATATCAGCCAGTGAGTTGCTCAGTGAGGTTAAAATCTAGACTGCAGTGGCCTGGTACTGTATGTACAATGTGATATAAAAACGTTTTTTTTAATGTCTTATAAATGATTTATTGAAAGTATATTATTATTCTATTGCATGTACAATAGTTTAATTATTTAATTTTAGGATTTTGGTGTGATTAGTCACTTCTGCATTGTTATTGTTTCCTGTTTGCTTGTAGGAAAGCGTCCTCTATGATCCTGCACAACTTGAAGGAGGAATTTTTTCTGTTCTTTCTTTTTTATGATGGTATTATACTCCTCAATAAGGGCCACACCACTTTAAGCATTGTCATTTACCACATTCAAGTGTTGAACTGCCTTTAGTGTCTCCTTGTAGTCCTCTTTCAGTTTCCATGACTTGGGGTCATAATCCAGAAGTCCAGATAGAATTTTGAGGCACCTGAAAAAGTCTGTTGTGTTCTCTGTGATAAAGTCTTCAATTAACATGTCCTTAGACTTCATGATATTCAGCTGGATGCACTTTGAAGGTTCATACACACCCTCATTTTCATTTAGTATCTTAACCATTGCTTGTTTCCTCTCTGTGGGTTTAGCTGAATCAAAGAATGCCAAACCACTAGATAGACTTGAAAACAACAAAGATGCAGATGTCACAGACTCCTCTTTCCTTTTGGTCAGTGAGTTTAAACTGTCCCATAAACATTGAGAACTGGAAAGTATATAATACCTTGTCCATTCATTATGCATGATGCAGTGCTTCAAGTTCTATAAATTGCACTCCATGTGGAGGGATGCCACACAGAAAGGTTATGGGCAGTTCAAGAAGCTCTTGATAATCTGACCTATTGTCATGTCATACAGAATATTCAAGAAGTAAAAAATAACAGCATGTATTATTTATATATGGAATGTTCATAAACATTCTGAATAACATATAATACTCTGGAATATTCCAGAATGTGCTAAAATATTCCAGAATAATCTAGAAGCTTCCAGAATTATTTAGGGTATTCTGAAAGATTCTAGAATATTCAAAGTATGCAGATATAATACAAGGTACAAGATAAAATTTCAACTACCTTCAGAAATCCCTAAATATTACTCAATATGGATAAACTTGGTGTGAAATACTTGTATATTGGAACAGAATGAGGGGTGAGAGTGTTGTAAATCAAAACTTCAAAAATAAGGACCACCCTATTCTGCAGGTTACATTCTCAGGTAAAATTTTGTTTAACAATCTTACATCTGTCTTATTTTGGCTGTCTATAATGCTATTTATGTAAAAAATATTAAATTAATCAGAATGTTAACACAGTGACAATGAACTATATAAATAAAGTTTCTAAGTTGATTTATCTGAAATCAAACATATGTCATTTCTTTGTTAGTTCTAGATACTGCTGGACAAGAAGAATTTAGTGCCATGAGAGAGCAGTACATGAGGAAAGGAGATGGTTTTCTATTGGTATATTCAGTCACTGATAACCAAAGTTATGAGAATATACACAACTTTCACACTCAAATTCTAAGGGTAAAAGATAGGTAAGTAATTATACTTCTCTCTAGTAAGTTGTTTACACATAAGATTTTATTAAATATTTGATTAAATATATAAATTACATGCTTCATTTCTGGGTCTTTAGTATCATAAATTATATAGTGTTAAATTACATGTATACCCCCCAGTTAAGGAAGTTACAAATGATACTATTCTCTCCAGAGTTAATACTGGAAGCTGACTTGTTATAAAATACTCATTATAATGATTAAATCACAGGTTGAGTTTAAGTTAATTTTTTTTTACTGTTAAAGTGAAAGTGGTATATTCTTCCTCATGAAAATCATTCATTTATACACTTTTTCATTGATCTTTTATCTTTAAGAAATGGTTAAATGAATACATCAGAGGTCCCCTGGTAGGACAGTGGTAAGTTTACAGACTTACAATGCTAAAATCTGTGGTTCGGTTCCCCACAAAACAAACAAACAATTCCACAGAAAACCTGGAACTGTTTATGAATTTGAAAAAGGAGTAAAAACAGTCTGGGAGAACTGGAAAATTATCCCCAAACCTTGAGAAAATTTGTGTTCCCCCACAAGACCTTGCACATGGTTAATTAGGCAGATTTATAAGGAAAAGTTGAGGTATTGGTGTGCTGTGTGTGTACAGGTCTGGAAAATCAGGGGTAAACAATTTTGGAATCTCACTAATGTTGCCTTTGTAAATCTTTCTGTTTAAGAGGGTTAAAGTGTGCATGTCCATGACTTTTTATGGTGTTACTTTTAAGATTTAAATATATAACTATTATCAATGAATCATGAATCACAATAGTTGTTCATAATAGGGATTGCAAGGAATTGCACAAAATCCTAACAGAAAGTTCAGGTAAAAAGCACATTAACTCTTCCGACATGGGGTTGGTCAATTTGACTGAGTCATATGACCTTCTGTACAGAGTGAAACAGGAATTACCAGCCATAAATAAATGACTGTAACATATAGATAATCAATATTTTGTACACTGTACAATTGATGTCTTTAGGAATCCAACCACTGTGATGTATGAAGTGGAATAAAAAAAAAATCAATACCTATAATATTAAATTTTATTACACCCATTCCTAGAATAATTACCTTAAAAGACACTAAGGTTTATTTAAGGCGATGTTTTTCAGACATATGTTTTATTTGAAAAGGCTGCTCTTCTACTGGTAAAATTTTATACACGCTTAGTGAGGGTTATGTCTTAGTCGAGGCATATATTTGCCCATTGCAATGCATTAAATATAAATGCTCACTGTATTTTCCAACAAATCTTTATGGCAATCTCCAGCTGCAGCTTAACATTTTACATCTTGAACTAATGCCACCAAATAGTGAATAGCTACAGTAAATCATCATGAACCATATCGACTAGCTACTAGTTATGTTTATTATCATTACAATGTATAAGGTTAGCTACCATATCTAGTAAACCTTTGCCCATAGTTGAGCATAAAAAACTAGCAAACAAGATAAAGTATAACTTGGGAATTTAAAAACCCGCAAATAGGGATCCTAAAAAAATATAGAAACAAGGCTGAAGATACTGTAGACATTATTTACTTAAACTGCAAGTCCCTATTTTGACTCCATCAAATGTAATTCTAGGTAACAGCACGGATCAAGATAGGGGGTTTGTTATTTTAGTAAATAATATCTACAGTATCTCCAGCTTTGTTTGCTTGCTTTTTTATGATCTCTATTTGCTGGTTTTTTAATTCCCAATTTTTTATCTTTTACATATCAATAGATTTGGAAAAAAACATGTTTATAATTTAAATTTTTATATTACTTGTGTTGTAACATCTTTATTTAAGAAAGAAATATTTTAAAAATTTCAATCTTCATTTTTCTATCTCATGTGATGTGTCTGAACTCTGATTTCTCCATGTTAAAATTCTCCAACTTCTAAAATTGACTGCTGCAGTTTCCAACCAAATATTAACTCGTACAATACATCATAACAAGAAAGAATCTAAAACTCGAACCTCCTATTTTCTTGATTTGGTGAGATAGCAATAAATTTTTCAAATCACCAGAGAAGCCCCTCTTCTCTCACTTACTTTCAAGATTGTTTGTTTATCAGCTCTACATGGCTGATGGATATGTGTATAACCAAAAGAGAGAGAGAAGTTTCTCCTCTATGTAAATCTTGCAATTTTTCTCTCAGTTTTGCCACCTTAAATTGTAGGTTGATGAGAATTACTTGGTTTATGTGGATCATGTTTGGTGCTCTAAACAGAATAGGAATTTTTTGATCTATAGTTTTAATCATAGTAGTTTTTGGAAATTTTATTCTAGTCACTGATATATTCGTGCATAAAATACATATTTGAAAGCTACATGAATATTTTTTGGACACTTAAATTTATGAGACCCAGTAAGGCTTAGCAGAGAATGTCAAATATTTTTAATTGTGTACAAATGCCTGAAGTATACGGTGAATACTACAAACCCTTGTTTTTTATTTATTGTTTCTTTAACAAAAGCAAACAATTTAAATAATATAACGTCTCAGCTTAGCCTAATTAAACTTCAGGAAAATAACTTTACCATTTCACAAGCTCCAGTTCACTGTGAAACATGACACTCATATCATATGCTATTTACATTAGCTTTATGGGAAACAGCTAATGTAGCAGGTATGAATGTTTTTCTAACTCTGAAGTGGATACTCTCTCTGATGATGGATGACCTGATTTCAGTTCTTAGACACTTTCTTTACATCTCAATTTGTCCGCTTTTGCTTCTTTTGATTTGTGTTATTTTTATGATATAAAAAGATCATGCTTATATAGTTATATCACAGCTGCTTATAGTTTTTAACATTTTCTACATAGTCTACATCAGCATTTTTTGGCTTGAAATAGTTGCATGCAATGGCTTCTGTTGACACTTTGTAATTGAAAGTCTAAGGCCGTATTGCTACTGTGAGGTTTTGTAAACCAAATTCTTTACAGTGGGTGTCTGTAACTTGTTGATGATAAATTTCAACAATAAACAAACAGCAACACAGTCCACTTGTTTTAAAATAATATATTAAAAGAAGTCAAACGTATATACAAATGTTGATTACACTGTTGGTTATCATAGTTGTATCCAGAGCTTTAAATAATTGCCTGTTTTTTGTCAAAGTCCACACAGTCTGGTTCAATTACTATAGAACACAATTGACAAGATGAATTATTCTTCTCTGCTCTGTTATTACAATACAATCTGTATTAATATCATGTTAAATAGAAATTGCCACTATATGCTCTTTATCTCTAAACTCACAATCATGCAGTCTAGATCTAAATAATACTCTTTCAATGTGTATTTATACCCTGACAGAAGTCTAGAAAATTCCATGTAATACTAGATATTCTGATGCAGTAATACTCAATTAAAGTAATGTGAAAAATTCAAAAAGTTCTTGTCACATGATGCAACAATCACTAACTCATAACAACTGAATGTATATGCTATATAATGTATAGTTAGTAAACAAACTTGCCATGAACTTTCATATCTAAAAATAATTAAATATGACACCTATGCTATATAAATTATCCAAATCATAATGCTTGCATTAAACTTAAACAGTCATGTATATCTAACAGCTACATGTGGTTTTGAGCACAAGCTAGCTTTGTCATGTCAAAGAAATAGAACTATAAAGTAATTGTGGGTTTGAGATTTAAGCATTTTTGTAGGTTTTTATTTTTATACAAGGAAAGAGCTGAGAATTGTACTAATCTTAAACCCATTTGAAAATTACCCACTATACCAGTAAGAGTCTGGCTTGTGAGACTATGTAGTATATGATATATAATGTCAATACAACATAGCCTTTTGTGATGAAAACCATGCTGCAAGGCTATTGTCAAGATACACAATCATTAGACAGAACATAATCAAAAAATAGTGTCATGCACTGTGATGAGGTAGTGAACCTCCAAATAATTTTAGTATATAATTTTTTCAACCTCTGTATAAACATGGTCTGGTTGTATTCCCCAAGAAGGTTTTACAAGTTTGTCTCAAATGGTAGAATTTTAAGGTATCTAGATTTTTTCACACCAAAAGTTATCATGAAGAAATATAAACCTTCATATTTGTAAAATATCTAGGTGGTAAATTGTGTTTAAGATGGAACCTTCTCTTCTGTCCTTTAGAAACAAAAACACCTTATTATGTAATTTACACAACTTTGACCTGAAGATGGGTTACATAAGTCATTTGAAACATCATTGTCCACTGCATTTTCTCAAACATCACATTATTCTAAGTTTAATTTGTTCTTTTCATAGCTACAGATCTTGCATGAAAGAACACTAGTTTATCAAGAGTCAGCAAGTTATAAGCCAAACATATTTTTACCAATGGTAAATTGATATGATTTTATTATACATGTTTTCTTTCGTACATCATATTTTAACAATTGCTGTGGGATATGTAACAACTTGTATCTATATTTGCTTTCGAACTTTACAATGCTGTCAAAGGGTTTTCTCAGTTTACATGAATTTCTGACAAATTGAAATGCTTGTTAATAATAAGATATTATTTACTTAAGAACTAATTACATAGTGAAAGTTGTAAATCATTTGTTTAATGTACGAAGTTGGAGATTAAGCTGAAGTTATTTAGATCATAGTACAAGTTCACTGTAGTAGCTGTAAAGCAATAATAATTTTCTGCAGACATCAGTTCTGTTTGTATGTGCAAATGGCAATAAAAATAACATCACCATTTCCACCTTTTTAACAGAACTAGGCAATTATTCTCACATAAGACTTGGATTGTTGAAATAAACGAAAATAGTAATAAGTGAAAACACTAATATCATTTATTTATTTTCATAAGGTTTGATGGTAAGTAATATTTTGATTACATGGAAAGTTTAAATAATTTAAAACTAATTTCAATTAGTTGATAATTTTTGCAACATTAATAAACATAATTGTAATTTTGATTAATCATTTATTTTATGTGACATTAATTCTTATAATTGTTG